CGAGTGCGCAGCCTTCCCGCAATCACGGGAATCCACAATTTCCCATTCAAGAATTAATTAGATCACGGGACTGCAAAATCCTACAGAAGTGGAAATCTCCCGCATCAAACATGGACCGGAACAATTGGTTATTAAATATCAACATATAGGCATGTTCACATAAAATAAGCATTCCGAAATTAGACATATGATCACATGAAATATCAAATCATTCATTCTTAAATCCAGATTAAACAAACATGATTATAAAATTCATCCCCATCAGTAAGATTCAACATCTATAATAATAAAAATAGCAATATACAACTATTCCCCACTTCATTTGGCCACTAATAATATTTAGGCAAAAAATAATAAGAAGAATTCTCACTTCATCTCGCCATTTGCTTATTTCATGTTTCTATATTTTAAATTTTTCAATTTAGTTACATTAAGTTCCGAATTACCTGACAAATAGAACCTAGAACTGAACCATTAGATCAAGTTTGAGCATTTTAAAAACCAAAACGAAATCAAACCACAGTAGAACAAGAACAAATTAGTAAGAATATCAATTAGGTTCAGTTCTTTAGATATTTTTCACCACTTACTACTAATTTGCCCCATTTACCTGGAGTAATCTTCAACATTCTCAATCACTTCTAACTCTCACAAGTTAGACAGATATACCAGTGCCATAAACGAGAAGATAAAAAACACAACCAATTAGGTAAATTTTTCTTACCAATATATTGCTAAGATTCAGAAGGAAGAAAAAAGATGAAAAAGCAAATAACAACATAAATTTGAGGGTAGTGCTCTATGGAAATAAATAGCGATCATGGACATTTAACGAGATATGAAACAACACCGACGAATGTAGGTAAAGATTATTTCTCGAATTTTATAATAATTTAGATTAATTTTAGATTTTATTTTAGCTTTTATTTTGTTTGATGATGTAGTAATCTTAATTTTAATTAAATGATGGCATTATTAAGAAGGGAAATTTACATATGTAGCACACAGTTCTTTGGTATTTATATATCTCACACTAAACTTTCATATTTACATACATAGCACTTAGGTGCTTTAAACCTATGCATGAAAAGATGGATTTCACTTCTACACAGAGATAGTAGTATTATATTTTTATGTGATATTAAAGATTTTAGTGTCATGTGTGTAAATATGAAATTTTAAGTGTGAGACATGTAAAAACATAAGAATTGTGTGCTATGTATCTAAATGCTACTATTAAGTATTATCTAAATTTGCATTAGACCTCAACTCAAATCAGTTTAGTTTTCTCGTGTAACTCTATTTCTATAAATAAGAATTTATGGCTTATAAAGAGTTCTTAGAAATGAATAAATTGAAGATTTGCTTCCTCCTAAACAAAACCTACTATTCCCTCTTTATTCAAGCTGAGACATGGATTCTTTTGTTGGCAACCCTAAATCAAGAATGTCTCACCCTCCAGTGCTAACAACACTTGATATTCTATATATTCGGCACATGAGGCGCCTTCTATAACTCTTCTCCAAAAATCAAGAAACAAACGAGCATTACCATCTTGGCATCAATTCAATTTCTTTTGCTACATTGACTCCAGAGTCAAATTCATGATGTAAACAGTATCTAAACCCCTAAGATGATCCAATTTGAAATTAGTACATCTATTACTGTGATGAGGGTAAAGCCAAGAAAATTAGTGTGTAAAATGAATGTATCATTTTATAAAGATTCATCGAAAACATAAGATTTCACCTGAGTGAACAAAATTCTCATTCACTTTGAAATTGTCATTATGAAGTTATCGACATGTTTCATGACGATTATAAGAATCTAAGTGGGCAACACTATCATGAATATAGTTTAAATGTGGATAAAAAATATAATCATGTGATTATATGCTATCGAAATAATTTATTACATTAAGTGATAACAATATAAGAAACTCCAATGATGACCGGTCAAAATATTGCCTAAAAGTATAATATAAAGAAATTGAAAAATCATATTACAGCAACAATCATTGACAATCTTATAGATATTTAAAACTTATGAGCAAGACATACTTTAATTACTATCAATATACACATGATAATTAAGCGCCTCAAGAAGACTATGGATATTACTATTGGTATAGGCCTTATGATTGCTATTTATGGGACTATCGAGTTCATTCCCATCAAAAACAATCTTATAATAATAGATCTCATTGTGCACGAGTTCACAAACTCCAATGGTTTAGAAATATATGTCGAAGCCACATGTTCAGGCGAATGTGTCATCTTCACCCGTTAAAATTTTGATACTCATGCTAAGTTGATATAAGAAGATTATTATTGTAATGATATGTTATGAACTTGATGATGATGATGACCAATCATCAAAAGTTGAATCATTTGTTGAACCTAACCATCCAATTATTCATTAGACTAATCCTAAGCCTAAATTGGTAATCATAAGTGATCAAGCCCATTGTTGACGCTAAGATATCTTTTGTGCTGCTTTAATTCTTATGTAAAAAGAGGTTAATTAGCAAATTATATTCCAAAATAGTTGTCTGCTTCCTCTCAATAAGTGTAGGTTGAGTTCGTGCTAATATTGCTGCTAATGTCATATAAGTATGGGATCTTCAACAGTATTTGATTAAATAATGGTGTATAATGCATGGTGACGCCTGAAATAGAAGCCTATAAAATATATTTATTATATTCAAGGAAAATTTGCATACATAGCAGATAATTCCTATGTATTTACATAACTAACGACTAAAGTTCAATATTTATATTTATAACACTTAAGTGTCATAGCCAATGCATGAAAAGATGTATTTCACTTTTTAAAAGTTAGTAATAGTTGTATTTGAGATGTAAGATTAAAGTTTTGTGAGCTAACTTTAAAAATATAAAAGGATAGGTTTTAAATATGTAAAAACATAGGAATTGTGTGGTACGTTTGTAAATGTCCCTATATTCAAATAGCATAGGCTTAATGAACCAGTTCCCTCATTGCCCCAACCAAATAAAATTCCAAGAAACGAGTCTCCAAAAAACTTTGAGGTATTCTCTCAACAAAATCTAAATCAATGTAGTGCAAGAATAGTATTCATTGATTTTTTATTTAAATAGTTTAAAATAGCAAACAAATTTTCTGAGTGTGCATATGTAGTACAATCACTAGTTAAACTACCATTGTTTTAATAAACAGGCTTGTAATCAAAGCCAGTGACGCCACTGACTTATAGTTAAACATGAATTGACCATGCTTGTATCAGTATGAAATCTTATATATCAGTTATACGATTATAAATTATTAAACCTTGCAAAAAACACAATTCTAAATCCCAACTAAACAGTTAAAATAACATTACCCAACTCTTAACCTTTTCCTTCTTACCAAACTTTGCAGGATTAAAAACTACCAAAGTTTAAAAAACATTTCTTTGCAGCTAAGGTGATGCATTAGGCTGGTGGCCTAAAGCAATAATACCAACAAATAGATTTAGGGAACGCAAATATCATTGAAAACCTGATTATCGCCTATTATATGTTAAAAAGGTTTTCTTTAACTTCAATTGCCAAACCAAAATTTTGGTTCATTACGATCCTAAATTCAATTTATGGAAGGGGACAAGAAGGTTGAACTATTCTAGGTTTATAGTTTCATTGGCAGATCATCAGGATTAGTAATGCTTAGAATCCAAGAGTACAGTTGTGAAATTCCAAATGATACAATGTAAGCAGTGAAATGCATTCTGAAAAACACACAATGCACCCATCATAATAGGACCAATGGCAAAAACTACGAAAAACACCAAATTATCAGTCTGAGAGACCTTAGAAAGGTATAGAGTTGCTTAAGCTACCAACCTTGACAATGATACATTGGAGAAAAATAACAGAGGGTGGACATGGTTGATATTTTTCAAATTAATCAAAGAAACTAATGAAGAAAGTGAATGGCATTTTTCATGAGCATTTATATCAAGGGTTTGAAATAATATCATACTATGCTATGTTGATTTTAAGAATTACTACTCTAAATATATGTGGCAAAACTGGCCTTCCTCTCGTCTTTATCTACCAATAGAAGTTCCACAGGACATGGTAATGCATCACAACCCAATCCCTGCAAACAAGTTCTTTTGCAAAAATTGCACACTCGTAGAGGATAACCAACCAAAAAAAGAACGAGAAAGTGTTCTCAAAGTACTTGTAAATGCATGTAAAATGATGTATGCATAGCGACCAGTCATAATACATAATGCTACAACAAATATAAATAGTGACTTGCAAACAAAAAAGAAAGAATTTCAAGCAAAGAGTTGCTAAATCACAGATAAAGACAACATTGAAGATCCTCTGATTTTCTAGAATCTTATTGGAGATAAATGAGTCGCTGGGCAGGTTAAAATAAATTAAACTTATTGCCATGATTCAAGACTGTAAAGCTTTGAAAAGGAAATTTACAACATTTAAAGAATTGAGGCTTGAATAAACCTCAGACATAGGCTACCACTCAGAAAAAGTGAAGGAAAAAAAAAGGTTGCCATGTTACAACAGGCAGTAAAATCAAAGATACATATACAAAGATACAATGTTAGACTTGGTTTTACCATATTTACCTTTACTTTCAAACCATTTAATTGCTTGGTAACATCTTGCCTATATCCCATGTTATCCAATTCAGGTCTATCCTTGACAAAATTATCTGGAGGAGAACCAACACGGCCCCCAGAATCAAAATCCTTACTTCTGACAGTTAACTTATTTCCACGACTATTGTGGAAATGATTGTCATAAATTTTCTGTTGGCTGAATGAGCACTTATCAATTCGATCATTTTCAGGTTGTATGGTATCATAGAAGGTGTAACGCTTGGAGGAAGACAAGTTGTTAGAATAATGATGCCTAAAACTGGCTTTCTCTTTGGCTAGAAGCCAAGGTAAGGCCAAACAACTTTTTTTACTCTCATTGTAAGCACTACTGTAAGGATAAGCTTTTCTTACTTCAGCAGGAATGATGGCTTTTTTTGCTTATAATTATGTCATGCTTGCTGTGCTGTTGAGAAAATGTTTCCCTGGTGTGTGAATGTACGCTCCGACATAATAAAGTAGATAATTGATGTTTGTGAGAACCATCCTCATGCCCGCTTCTTTTGTCTTCATCATAAGCCTCTCTATATATTCTAGAATGTAACCTCTCCTCATAAAACCTTGAATCTTCATGATCGTAGACATATTCACTAGACCTTTTTAAGTTTATGGGCTGAGTTTTGCCACGATTATCTAATTCTGGAAGCCTTCTAAATGCTCCAGCACCACAAGGAACACTATCATACTTATCAATGAGGCTTCCCTCCTCTTCATATAAGTAAGAAACACACCTTCCAAAATTTTTATCTAAAGATCTTTCACCAAATTCATCCAAAGCTATTTCATTATGTCGATCTTTAGCTTCCGTAGAATTATAATGGGATCTCATAACCGTGCCATGTCCATCTGCACTTCTTGTGTGGAAAACCATTTTATCATGAAGAGACATGTTCAGTGAGGTTGATTGCAAAGAGTCCCACTTTAAAATTCCATGGGCCCTACTACACCATGCCCTTCGATTATTGTAGAAACCATTTTTACTCGTCTTAATTTCCCTTACAGTAGTCATTTTCTCCCTTATTCGGACAAGAGGCGGCTCTTCATCATTGCCCTTAGAGCGTGCTGAAAAAGCAGCAGCATTGACTTCCTTTCCACTGTTATATTTGATATTGTTCTTGAGCAAAATTTTACTTTCTTGAATTGAATGAACACTTTCAACAGGTTCATCATCCCACTGCTTGACAACTGTTCCGCTCTCCTTTGCCTGGCGCTCAACATCAATCTTCTGCTCATGCACAAGAGGGAAAGCAACGTCATCCTCTGAGCTAAGATTCAACTGAACCACTTGACAGGGAGTTGTTTGTTGGCAATAGTTTAGATCTAGAAAGAATTCGGGAGAACGACCCCCACAGGATGTGCTAACAGTTTTATTGGTATCATCTCCAGTTTCACTTGAAGGATACCAACAAGGCAAAAAGGGCTCTTGTAATAAATTATCTGAATTTAAGTGGATGCATTCAGGCCTAGGCACTTTCTCAAATTTTACTTCATCCATGGATGCTTCGAACGAATCATTGTGATCAGAAGACTTTGAACTGCTAGAATAATGATCAGCAATAGTGACAGCAGGCTTTGACAACAGCGTAATGCTTAAAGGGCAGTCTCTATCACAATTCACTGTATCAAGTTTCTTATCAAAAGCCTTCGTTATACATGGACAAGGATGCTCACTAGATATGCTGCTCTCTTCACATTTACAAGCACAAGTGTCCACATTGAATGAGCTGCATAGAAAAGTAGCTACATCTAGTTATGTCTGGTTTAGTAAATTCACAACATAATGACCCGTGGAAAGTCTTTAGAATACGTCTGTTGAACCCAAAAGAAAAGCTATGAGATTTTGTAAAAAAATTAATGGAAACATCTGTAAAAGAAAATCATTAACGTATGGATGGTCAAGGTGGACGTTATTTAACCTACGTAACAACATAACTGAGAAATGAAAAGCCTAGGGCTAGTATGACATGGACAACATGATCTTTGTTTATGCTAAAATGTAGAGTATTAAAGCATCTTGAAAAAATAATCACAGATGAACCACAAAGACATGAAGGTTAAGCGCAAAGACAAAACATTTTCAGGAGCACCAAGTCAAGTAAGGGTAACCTAAAAATTTTCCCTTCATCAAATACGTTTAATATGAATAAAGAACAAATCATCTCATTATCCTCGTCATCAACATCATCAAAACCAGACTTCTCTAAACAAAGCAACCATATTATCATCAAGCAAGACGTATTAGTAAATTTAACTCTCTTTCATCGTTAATATGTTTCCTTTCACCAAAACCTTCTTGCATATAAATATTTTTGAAGCTCTACAAGCTTGCAAACTTCTTTAAAAGAACATGCAATGCATAACATTGAAATCAAACGCAACGATGGCCCACATAATGGAAGTGTTTCTTTCAATAGAGCTCTTATCACCAAAAAAAAGTCAAGATGACAAAGCATACTATAATTAAAAGGGAACATGAATAAAATGTCCATATAAAGTTGAGAAGTTTGGCTCCTCTCCAAGGTGGGCCAGCAATTTTCTTCACAAAATCATGAAAATATTTTGATTGGGAATATCTTGGAAAAAACCTTTCTTAGTTTTATTCTCTTCCTATTTTATGTTTCATTGTTTTTATTTAGAATTATTTCAATTCCTAATTTAGGCTAAATATATTTGGTAAGTTTATAAATTAGAAGAGATTGGTTTCTATATATATGA